AAATTTAAACTTTAAATTTTAAATTTTAAGCCAGCCCGTAATGCTATGGGATAGTATAATGGCTTTGGGAAACTGCTCTTATCTGTATTTTTTTGTACCCCGTAAAGGGTTTTTACAAATTTAAAAAAAATAAATAAATAAAATAAATAAAAAAATAAAACCCAAGGGTTTGGGAAACATCGGTCCAAACGCAACCCGGGATGAAAGCGGACTGGTATTAAAGGAAAAAAAAAGGGGGGGCAAGAAGCAACTGCCGGTAATTGGGCCTTTCCCCGCACGGGAGTGGGGAAAGAATAGACCCCCAAACCCTCTCGGAAAACCTTTCCCCTGGGGTTTTAAAAAAAAGTTTTGATGGGTAAAATGAACATATCTAAAGGGGGCCAACGAAAGATGAAGACACAAGCAAGCATGAAATGAGGGCGAAAAGGGACAGAGTAAACAGGGGGAGGGAAAAAAATAATAGGCCCTTCTAAGGGCTGTTACTTTTTTGTAAAGCAAAGGGTCACGGAGATGAAGCAACAAAACCTTGGGGCAATGGGCATCACGGGGGTCATTCCCAAAATCGGAACCCTTTTCCTCTCCATGTAGGCTCTCCAAGGGGAAAGCAAAAAAACATCCAGATATAAACTAATCCCTGATGATGGATGGGATTTAAATGTAGAAAGAATTTTTAGGAGGGGCCGCAGAATTTCACTAGTTTTCCCCCAGCTAGTTTTGATAAAAAAGAACTGAATGCAGTACAAGAAAATTCCCAAAGTTTCCCCCCCCATGAAACATAAACAGGTTTTAAGGAGGTTCAGCGGGGATGGCAAGTTCCTTTCAAGGTAATTGAGGTTTTTCCCGGACAACTTGGGGATCAAACCGGGAAGGGGAAAAACCGAATATAAGTATCAGGGAGACAGAACAACTTGGGGGAAGTAATATGACATTTTTAAAAAAATAAAAAAATTAAAAACCCCCGACTCGTGGCCCTGATGGGAAACAGGGCTGACAGCAAATTCCCGGGGAAAAAGGCTGCTACTAGGGGACAGTCCCGTGCTTGCACAATTCGATAGCAAGTCATCATCATAAAAAGGGTGACAAAAATTAGATGGGAAAACAGAGGGGCCCGATCATTTACAGCAAGGGGAAAAAGAGTTTGGGGCTAAAGGGCACCCGTGGTTTTTTAAAAAAGTCCTTTGGGAAAACAAATTATTAACCTAAACAAGAAATGTATCTCAGATAAGAATTTTAAAAAAAATGACAGAAAATGTCCCCGGAGGCCTAAGGAAAAACTTGGGCCAAGACGTTATATCTCCTGTAGTAGTCATTCTTTTTTAAAATCAAAAAAAACTATAATAAAATTTTAGGCAATTACACAAAGGCATTATAAAAAGCACCCTCTAGGGGGAATATTGGGGGCAATAAATGGGGGAGCCCCCTTATGAAAGCCATACTGACTAGTGGAGAGACTATTATGTATGTCTAAATACCACACCAAATGTCTATTCACCAAATGTTCCATCACCTTGCAAAATGCACTGGTAAAACCAATGAGACAATAGTGTAAGGAATCATGTACCAAACTACCTAGCTTATGAAAAGTCAAAACAATGGCAATTTTCACAGCTGAGGAAGAACTCCTTGCAAGCATACAAGATAAAAAAAAGACGTAAAAAGACTGCGAGGGCTGACGGATGTAAATACTGAAGCATACGAATATAATGCCATCAGGTCCAGATGCCGATGATCGGCAAGCAGAAAGTGTTGACTCTAGCTCTAGAAGTGCTGGAAGAAAAGAAATGAGGGGCAGAGATGGAGCCCCCGAGAGATATGGACAAGATGATTCCCAATTTCCATGGCAACTTCAAGAGCGTGTGCAATGCTGACACCAGCAACCCGAAGAATGGGAGCCATGACTTGAGAGTACTTGCCACTCAATTTCCATACTGCACTCATAGAGGAAGCAGAAGTGATGGTAGAAACAATCTTGCCAACAAGTAAGCTTATCTTCTAAGATGACACATTGGACAACCACCCTCACCCACTTAAAATCAAGGAGAATTTCTGCAATTGCACTGTAACAATACTGGCACCATGTAGCAAGTTTCAAATGCAATGCACGAGCACAAGTGGGAGACCACCAAGGCACGCATTTTATGAGGGTGCCCACCTGAGGTTTGAGAAATTGTGTTCGAGGCTGCAGTTAAAACTGGTGACAAAAATAATTGCAACAGCTCAGCCACTGAAGACAGAGGAAAAGCGTCTTCACTAAAAACAATTTGGCATGAGTAAATGTGGCCAATTTGCCTGTTCAAACACCAATGTAGGCTATGAGGAGGTCAAGAAAACGAACGAGAAGAAAGTAGGATAGGAAAAGGATGGCTGTCATGTAGATCAAGAAAGCACAGGCCAGATAAATTTGAGTGAAAGTGAAGAGAAGCAAACTTAAGAGATATAAAGAGCAGCTCGAGACAAGGTGAAAAACAGGAAAATGCAGTTTTAGTTTATGCAAACGGGA